AATATGTCTAAGGAATGGATTTTAGTCTTAATAGAACGACCTGGTTTCATTAGCACTATCTTATAAAACCTTAAAAACGTTTGTAAAATCATTATTAAGTATAAGATTAAACACATATATACATTTACCTACCTGCAAGAACCACTTTTAGAGATGTTTAAGACAGTCCCACCTATTGATGTGTTGATCTCTTTGGAAAGATTCTTGGCTTTAAGATTTACAGGTATTGGAACTCTGTAACGACAGACATTTAGAGCACACACAATGCATATACACCTGTAAATTCTTTTTTTTTAAATTTTCAATCCTTTCTTTACAGATTACCTAAGTAAAACCTTTTTTTTTTTAATTGATTTTTTTACAGAGAGGAAGGGAGAGGGATAGAGTTAGAAACATCGATCAGCTGCCTCCTGCACACCCCCTACTGAGGATGTGCCCACAACCAAGGTACATGCCATTGGCCGGAATCAAACCTAGACCCCTTCAGTCCACAGGCCAATTCTCTATCCACTGAGCCAAACTGGTGGATAGGGCTACACTTATAAATTCTGTGCTGCTCAAGTCCAGTCATTGATCAGACACTTACTTCTTTCTCTTATAGAAATGTCTTCCGAGGTGTGAGGGTAAGAGCCGACGGATTCTTGCATCAGAAAGGAACAAGTTGAAACTACTCAGGAGGCGGAGCTTGGCCTCATAGGCTTTATACTCTGTTTTTAATGTTCGGAACGGGATAATCTAGAAAACAAAGAGCACAATTCTCAAGCAACAATTTGTATTCAGATTTTAAAATGTTCTGGAGCCAGTTTAGTGAACACTTTAGTGCCTAAAATGGGCCAGACAATATGCTAAATGCCACAAACATGGAAACAAATGAAATGGGACAACCTCAGCTAAAGAAATGACACCAACAACTGTCAAACAGGATGAGAAATGCCACATCAGAGGCAAACACAGAATGCTCCAGAAGTTCAGAGTAAATGACCTAATGGAGCAACTGTTTGTAAAATCTTCAAGGAAGATACTAGTGTACACAGTGAGCTTGTGGATCAACAAACCTGGACAGCTGAGCCATCAGATGAAAAATGGAATATGTCCTACCTAAAGCCAAGGAGAACTATGTTAAAAAGAAAAAGTTAAAATTAAAAATTAAATTCTTAGGAGATGATACAGCAATGTATTACTTTTCGCTTCAAGTGAATCAAAACTTTTTAAAAAATATATTTTATTAATTTTTTTTACAGCGAGGAATAGAGAGAGGAGAGAGAGAGAGAGAAGGGGGGGGGGGGGAAGAGAAACATCCAGCTGCTCCTGCACACCCCACACTGGGGATGCGCCCTCAACCAAGGTACATGCCCTTAACTAGAACCGAACCTGGGGCCCTTCAGTCCGCAGGCTGACGGTCTATCCATTGAGCCAAACCAGTTTCGGCATGAATCAAAACTTTTAATTATCTTGAAAATATTAACCTGCTCCCTACCTGAGAAATGGTTTTTATTCCATGCTTTTTTAGAAGCTTCTTATAAAATTGTTCCGTCTTTTCAGGAGTTACATTGGGTTCGTCCTTAGTAAATAAACAGACATCTGCTAAATCTGACCGAATACCATGAGGCAAGGACCTGCAAAATACAGAAGGAACCACAGAATAAAGCATTATTATACAAAGAATGTGTTTATACTCCATAGAATATACAATCAATTTACTGTCATTTCAGGAAACTTCACTTAAACTATTTAAGCAAACTATATATGGGGTGCTTCCCCAAAATGTGAATAATTATAAAGGCAGTATTAAAATAAATTTAATTTTCAAAATTGAACTATCAGCTGTTAAAGTGTATGTATGTTCTTTATATTGAGAACATTTAAAAAATGTCTGATTTTCGCCAAGACCAGTTTGGCTCAGTGGATAGAGTGTCGGCCTGTGGACTGAAAGGTCCCGGGTTCAATTCCGGTCAAGGGCATGTACCTTGGTTGTGGGCACATCCCCAGTAGGGGGTGTGCAAGAGGCAGCTAATCAATGATTCTCTCTCATCAATGTTTCTAATTCTCTATCCCTCTCTCTTCCTCTCTGTAAAATATCAATAAAATATATTTTAAAAAATGTCTGATTTTCAATGGCACAGAAGAGATTTAAGATGGAAGTCACCACAAATACACATAGGTCAAATATCAATTAATATTTGGGACATAATAAGAGTTCAAATACAAAGACACTCAGAATAGTGAATATATAACTATTATTTCATATGTTACTATATGTGTACACATCCTATAATGTGCTAGAATCCATTTCCAACAGGGCAGATCTGACTTAGAACCTTACCTTGGAGAAAACTCTGGGCTCCATAAACAACAGAGCTCTTAAGAGCTGAAAGGAAAATATGGAGCAAACCAAAGGGACCAAGAGACATGCCATGATTACTAGGTTGAGTCTTAAAAAGAAAAAAAGATTTAAAGCACTTCCTAGGCCTATATGTTCCAAGGAAACATTTCCTTTGTTTAAGAAGATAGTAATACACATAGTAGCATGACCTGCCAAACGATGCGGGAAGAACTGTGACGCTGGTAAGTGGCAGAAATCACCAAAAAGGTGAACAGCTGGCGAAAATATTCTGGAGAAAGCAAGAGGGCTTTCCAGAAGGGAAAACTGCCTGAGCAAAGGTGTGGAATACAGAATGCAGGAGATACATAAAGCAGTAACTAAGGGAAGCTGGCTGAGGCAGGTTTGTAAAATTACTTATTGAAAGGTTTGAGGACCAAAAGGGTCTTTCCAATTTGTAATAATTCTTGGTTCCTCCTTCCCGCATCTCCTGCCCCCCCCTCCTCCGAAAAGAAACTAACTACCCTATACACTGGTTTATTTATTTTTTTCTTTTTTTAACCTTTTCTTATATTTCATTAGCTTACAGATTCTGTCAGTATGTCTCACATATCTATTATATATATTTATATATCAATACAATGCCTCTCTCTAGGGGACCCCCCAGAGGCTTAAGAAGCCCCTTAAGAACGGAGTCCCTATACACTGATTTAGCATAGCTGGTTAAAGGAAATATACTCAGGAAATGAGGGACTCCACAGAAAGACAGTGTTATCAGATAGAAGATAGAACACCCATTACATTTTAATTATTTTTTAAATACGTCCCAAGTATTACATGGGACTTACTCATACTAAAAAATTACTTGTGTTTTTATTTATTAAGTCTGGCAATTGCAGAGGTGCATCTCTGAGCTAAAAGTCCTAGCAATAAAAATGTGTAATTGCCATTGGTTTCTTTAAGGAGTTCACTGCCAAGTTTTAAACAGTGTCTGTATAAAGAAGCGAGTTCAGCCTGGCTGGTGTTGCTCAGTGGTTGAGCGTTGACCCATACACTGGGAGGTCACTGGTTTGATTCCCAATCAGGGTACATGGCAGGGTACAAGGGGCTGTTGTACAATGTTGATGTTCTCTCCCATTGATGTTTCTCTCTTTCCAAAAATAATAAAAACATAGTTTAAAAGAAGCGAGTGTGGGATCTCAGGGGTTTTAGCTTGAAAGTAGTTTGACATGAAAAGATGACAGGTTCTATTAAAGTATAAAAGCTGTTTAATTTATTCTAACTTTTATTCTCTAAAAACAAACAAACAGGTTTTGTATTCAATAGAACGGCTTTGGTTAATTGTCCACCAATTCCCAAGAAAACTGGTGAAATTTCTAAAAAAATGTAAGCTTGTCTGAATTCCTGTGTTTTTTTGTAAGGTACAACTATTTATACCAACTCAGATTTTTATTTTGAGTTTGCAAAGTTTACACTAGAAATTAGATCACGACTGTTAACGCTACACAGAATTGACTGATTAAACAGCTAAGGCAGAAAACCAGAACTTACAATCTGACCCTCAGTTCTTTACTTGGGATTTTCCACAATACCACCATTAAAAAGAAATTTTCATTCTCATTCAAAAGCAATCCATTCGCGTTTTTCCTGGACTTGGAATGTGTCAACAGAGCTTCCACTGCCTTTTTGGCCTGCAAAATGAAGATAAACAGATTAAATCTCAATCCAATTTAGCATTTGCCCTCTTCCTTACTACTGCTTTTACCTTTTTCTTCCTGCTCTATTTCTAGTTTAACAGGCAATCTCCAAAACCATTAACTATTAGTATCCTACTATTTGCAGTCACAGGAATATAAAACTCTTATCAGAATCACCTAAATGTATCCATACGTCCGGAAAAAAAGAGAAAAAAGGGCCAGACGGAACATGCTTCCCCTGCCCCGCTATGTTCAATGAAGGCCGTAACCCCAGTAAACGCGCACCACACCGCAACTAGCATTGAGTGAGCGCTTACTGTATGCCAGGCCCTTGGCTACAGCGCTTTGCGCGCCTCACCTCCTCTAACCCCGGAGAGCGGAGGGCAGCAGAGGTAACCGAGGCTTACAAAATTAAACCACGTGGCCATAGTCAAACGTAGGGAAGTAGAACCAGGTACACTGCGCTCAAGAATCCCAAGCTAGACCTGCATTCTAATTCAAGAGCGCCAGGCCGCGCAGGGTTAGGGTAAGCGAGCACCTACTCGTGCGCATAAGAGTGCGGGCAGGCTGAGAGTGAACCCTCAAACAGCGAATCAGAGACCCTCAAATCTTCGGGAGAATCGAAGGAAGCGCGAGCCCGTCTCCCGCACCACGCGCATCACCCGGCCAAGGCCGTCTCGCTCCCAGAGGCCTCTCACCTGTTTTTTATCCAGCTGCCCCACGGCAGCCGGGGTTGCGGCGGTCGAGGCTGGAGTTGCTGCGGTGGAGGCTGGAGTTGCGGTGGAGGCTGCGGGCGGGGATGAAGCGGAGTCCTCCATCTTTTTTCTCGCCGCGTGCGGACTCGCGAACCAAACCCGCACGACTGGCTCCTCGCGCGCCTGCGCGAGCACAGGCCTGCAGACGGAAGTTAGGGAACGTGGGGCGTGTCCTTGCGTCACTTCCGGGCGTCGCGCCGGAGAGGTTTGGCGGGCGCGAGCAAACTGTGAGTGTGGCTCCGCCTGCAGTCGGAGTGTCTGAGGTGACAACTCCGTGTGTTTCCGTGAGGCTTGGGGAGCAACCTGGCGACATTTTGGCCTCTCTCCTTTCACAAAAGACATCGAGCAGGCTCCGGGAGGCGGAAGAGGAGGCCTGTCCATGCACCCAGCGAGGCCACCCGCTCTCCGTGGACCCTGCCTTTGGGCAGGCCCCGAGGGGCATGAGGAGAGCTGGGAGTTCTGGCCCCGCCACCCACCTGTCTGTCTGGTGACTTTGGGGGGAACCACTGACGCTGCCCAGCCAGCCTCCTCCAACGCGAAGGTGGCGGGAACCTCTCCACCGCTGGCGAGAATTCCGTGGCATCAGGCGCGGGAAACACCACGCGCGTCGTTAAACGGTGGGGGGCCCCGAGCGAGGAGCCAGAGCCTGAGGTGGGAGGTAAGCATACAAACTTGAGCGTGCAGGCTGGAATACGGCGGAAAGCCTCCCTCCCGCCTCACTTCCCCAGAAGGGACCACTGTCACTTGGAACCTTCCAAGGTTATTCAAGGCATGTTTACGAAATAGTTATAATTTCTCTCTCTGGATACGGCTGGTATCATTTTTCTCTCTCTGTGTGTGGCTGGGTTTAAAGTTAGTCTTTAAAAACAAAACAAAACAAATGGTAGCCAACTATACTTATTGGTCTGTACGTTGACTTTTTCTCTTTCTCTCTTTTTGCATTGATGTGAGAGACACAATGACTGGCTGTCTCCTGCGCGCGCCCCAAGAGCTAACCGGCAACCCAGACCTGGGTAGTGAGTTGCCCTTGACCTGGAAGACCCCACGACGCTTTGGTGCGCGAAACTACGCTCTAACCACTGAACACGGGCCTGCGCGGTTTTTGTCTCAATGTATCTTGGAGGTTGCTCTACCTCAACTGTTTTAACTCGGAATCTCCTTCCTGCATGTAGATAAAACAATAGTTTATTTGGGAGCTTTTCTTCGTTTTGTTTTTTCTTTTTTTGTGTTTTTTGTTTTTTGTTGTTTTTTTTTAAGGAGCTTTTTCAATGGACCTTCAGGATGGTTGTAGTCTTTTTGGAACCAGCTATGGAAATCTTTGAGAGACAAGGAATAAGAGGAGACTTTCCCTATCAGTTGTTTTCCCCCAAAATGCTTCTTGCACATTGCCAAATGTGGAGGAATGGGTATTCTGCTGATCTCTAATAATGACTTTGTCTTTGATCAGTTTTTTTTCTTTGATCAGTTTAAGAAGAAATTTTCTTAAATCTCTGTTGCTTACTCTCACATATCTATTCTAGAATCTAGTATAAGGTGAAACTAGTTTTAGCACAAGATTATGAATTGTTATGTTCGGCTTCATTTATCATTTTTTCTAGTATGTGTTAAGAGCATTAGGAACTGTCAGATGTGTCACCTGAGTTCAAGTTTGAGAACCAGACTGGTAGGCCAAGGGAATGGTATGAATTCAGGAGAAGGTGCATGGCGGTGTTTGGTAGTAAGTGGCTAGACCAAGAATGTGTAGAGGGGAGGAATGGGAGATAAGGCTAGAAGAGTAGGTTAAGGAATTGATTATCTAGCTAAGGGTTTATACTTTGGAGAAATCGTACAAAGTTTTTGAACTGGTGCTAAGAAAAGGTGTGATGAACTGGGCTTTAGGAAGGTTAATAATTTGGATGTGATATTGTTTAAAACATGTCATGCTCACAGATTCTTTGATACTGAGTATGGGCTGGACTTAATAACTTGCTTCTATCAAATAGATTATAGCAAAAGGATGTCACTTCTGAGATTAAGTTATAAAGACTATAGTTTCTTCCCTGAGTGTTCTTCTTCCCTCCATCTTTCCTACTCTCTCTTTACTTCATATTACTTGCTCTAAGTGAAATCAGCTAACATGTCTTAAGGCTACTCAAGCAGTTTGCCAGCAACACATGAGTGAGCTTGGAAGTGGATCCTTCCTCAATCAAACCTTTAGATAACTGCAACATTTTGAGAAACCCTGAACCAGACCATTTAGCTGTGTTGCTTGTAACTGCAGAATCAGTTCAGACACGCTCTGTCCTATTTCTAACAAGATATTGAGTTGCTTTTCAGAGACACAGACCAAAACCACAAGTCATGCAGCTGAAGCATGTTCAAAGGAGACAATTTGACCTCGTTGCACCCAGAACCACAGCCGCCCTTCCCCCCATCTTCCAGAACAAAATGACTGGGACATGACCAAAACTTGAACACTGGAACCCTTTCAGAAGCAAAGGGTCAGTTGTCCCAGGAAGATCTGATGCTGAAGCCCCTTTCCATAAATGGCCAAGGTCCAAAGCTCTTCAATCAAAACTTGCCCTGCCAGTGCTTTTATATACCAGTCTTTTTTCTCCTAACCTCTTAAAACTTACCTGGGTTAAAAGATATTTGAGCCTGTTTTCCGTCTCCTTGCTTATGATTTCATAATAAAACCTTTTCTCAAAGCCAATGTCATAATAATTGGCTTCTGTATGCAATGGGCAGCCAGTCCTTGTTTAGCAACAAGATAAAGTTTTTTAAGCCATTGAGTTTGGGGTGATTTGTTATCCCTCAACAGATAATAGAAATTTGCAGACCTCCATCTTGAAACTCATCAACTGTTGATATAGAAATTCTATTAAAACTTCACACTCAGCAACGCCCCACTATCTTGCCTTCAAACCTGCTCCTTCTGTTTTCTCTGTCATTGGCACCCACTACAGCCTAGTTGCCCAGAATATGGGAGTTATTGTTTTTTATTCCCCCAAATATAGTCAATAACAAAATCTTGTTTATTCCTTTTAAATATCTCTTGGATTTATCCAATTATTTTTATCCCTTCTACGTAGTAGTACAGGGTATCATTTTTTCCCTAAAGGTAGTTTTGCCCTACCTCCAGTTTTGCATCTTGTCCATTCTCTGTCCTTAAGTTGGAATGATCTTTGTAACATTCAAAGTAATAAACAGTGCTTGTAAAGGAATACTACAGGTATTTTAGAGCCAATGGTGATAAAGGAAAATTAAATACAGGGAGTCCCCCCAAAAATGTACACACAATTAAGAGCTGATAGCTCAATTGATGCTTCTATCTTCATATTTAACCTGTTGGTATATATACATTTTTGGGGAGGACACCCTGTATAAGTATCTTGAATCAAATATGTGAATTACTCTTTTGTTGTTATTCCTATTCTGAGGATATTTTTCTATTGATTATTTTCGAGAGTGGAAGGGAGAGAAACAGAGAAGAAACATCGATGTGAGAGAGACACATTGGTTGGCTCCCACACACCCTCCGACCAGGGCTGGGGATCAAGCCTGCAACTGAGGTACATACCCTTAACTGGAATTGAACCTGGGACCCTTCCGTCTGTAGGCTGATGCTCTGTCCACTAAGTCAAACTGGCTAGGGGGAAGTATTTTTTTTTAATCCTCACCCAAAGATTTTTTTAAAATTGATTTTAGAGAGGGAGGAAAGGAGAAACATTGACTGGTTGCCTTCAAGATGTGCCCCCACCTGAGATCAAACCTGCAACCTGAGTGTGTGCCCTGAGTGAGAATAGAACGTGACTTCAGTGTACTTAGGATGATGTTCCAAGTCACACCAACCAGGGCATGAATCACTTTTCAAAAATTAATATGTATGTATTAAGACTCTTGGGAAGAAAACAAGGTAATTAGAGCATACATTTCTGATGGCCATCATTTATTCTAGGTTGGGAGGTATATAGTTCTTCACTACAAATCTATAGTATCCAGACTATTTTTCAGAAAAAGTCTCTGGGTCAAGAAGTATAAAATTATCTACCATCAGTTTTCTGCCCACTGCTATATATTGCCTGTGTATGGTTGGATGCCCAAACACACTTAAGAAAGATGTTTTTTCAACAATGTTTGATGGACTGATTTGGAGAGCTGGTCATTGAAAAGTGTGGAAAATGTCAAACCATTTATTTAGAACTTTCACATGAACCCCTGCTTTCATGTCAAACTTGCTCATAAAAATTCTGAACAATAGAAGTTTGTAGTTTTGACAGAATCATTGGTGTTTCCTCAATTCTGTTCACATAAACCACATACTATTATATAGCTATTTATTGTTAAGCATATATAACTTCCTATCAAGTTGCTGTTTTGTTAAGAATCATATGCACTGTATAAAGACCTTGCATACTATATGCAAGCAGACCACGTTTGTAAATTTCTTATGTGACAGAGCTTATTAGATTCATTTAATTAGATCCATGCTGGTAGATGGTTCCAATACTTGATACAAAAATAAAGGATTGTACAGAAAATTGATAAATACAGGTAACTATAAACAGACAGACAAATCCTTCAAAAGGGTAGGTGACAGTTTTTATTATTACAAAAGCAAGTATTTTTAAACTTGTCATTTGAGTAATTGCAAGAGCAGACTAAGGGCTTAATCCTCACACAGGCACCAAGTCAGGCACAGTAGGTAGCTACAAATCATAAGAAAAAGGTTTCTTTACCTTGGATTTCCCTAATTCCTACCTATAGCATTCTGCCATGCTTTGGAATTAAGTTTTTTTTTTTTTAAAAACCAGCAAACCTAATTAGGCCCCTACCCCACTCTTTTTTAAATGAGAACTAGGTATTAACCTGCTGTCTAGTGGAAACTAGACTACACCTTGGCCTGAGAGAGATCCACATTTCCTTTAGAACAAACAGAAGAAACTAGCTAAGATGTGTTGATTTGAGAGCCCAATGCAAGTTCTTAAAATGCAGACCTCCTAAGCTCAGACCTGTTTTACCTAATTCATGTGGATGATCACCTGAGGAATGCAAGAGTTCCAGCTCCAGCACAAATACTCTCCCAGGGCAGCAGAAAAGGAGGTAGCAGGGACTTGGGTTGACATCGGAAGCACTAAGCTAATGTGCCTGGCAAAGGGGACAAACCTGAGGTTTCCACATTAATTTTTAAATGGCACAGTGGCATGTGTGACAAGGCAGAAAAGGTAATTGCCACCCCAAGAGTTGTTTAAGAAATTCTGTGTAATTTTCTGCCTAATCAGACATGATGCCTCTGCTTTTCCCTTATGTTGGAGAACATAAAAGTTTTAATCTCCATTTCCTCCAGGGCCCTTGTAACATTCCTTAGTAAACAACTTGCTAGCATGTTATTGTTTCAAGGAAGCATAGGATTAGAGGTATGTGAAAGTGTATTTATTGAAGGGAAGACTTAATACATTCTAGGATATTGAAAATTAAGAATATCCTAGAGCCAAAACCATTACAAGTTGAACCAAATCTATTCTGTCTGAATTTCAACAGTAAATTGGTTCAAATGGGGTCCACCAAACTACTACAGGAATATAAGAACACTTCTATTCCATTTACTATCAAATCTATTATCACCAACTGACTACTAAATTTAAATCTAGTCTTTTTGAGTTGTGCTACGTAATTACA